ACACATTTTTTGCTATTTAAATATCTTTAATGGCCTTATTTATTAAAATTTAAATATTACAATCTTATGCCAGTTATCTAATATTATTTTTAAAAATTACTGTTTCCTAAATTCCAAAGTCATAGATTCACTGGTGTAGACAGTTTAAATGACCAAGTTTTCAATCAATTATTTTGGTAATGTAAAACTCAAATTTTCCATCATGAACTTAGATTACCACTGTGTCCTTTAATAAAGACAAAATACAGTAAACTTTTTTGATAAATTCAATGAAAAACAATGGAGAAATATTTTTTATAACCAGAGTGGTAAAGTAAATATCTGAATATTTTTAGTATTTAAGTATTACAATATAATTAATCTTTCCTTTTGTTTAATATATTGTTAATGTATTTAAAAGGTGACTGTCAAATAAATATTTTATAACATACCTGGGATTTATACAGAGTAAAATTATGTCATAGTTTTTAGCTATTTTCCTTCTAAAATACCTAAATCAAATGTCACCTTCTTGATATTTACACATCTGTCATCTAAAATGTCTTTATAGTACCCATATATATATATGCACATATATATATATGGACTCATCTATGCTATTTGACTTTCCAATCTAATTTTTTTTTATTTAATATAGAAGCAAAAACAGTTCACCTATTTCTCCATCTCCCCCCTTCACCTTGGGCAACCACTGATCTCTTTTTTGTATATATGAGCTTTTTTTTTTTTTCTTCATCTCCATGAGCTTGGGTGTTTTGTCTTTGCTTTGTTAGATTCACACATAAGTGAAATCATATGGTATTTGTCTTTCTCTGTCTGACTTATTTTTCTTAGCATAATGCTCTTTGTGTTCATCCATGGTGTCACAAATGGCAAGATTTCATTTTTTTCTATGGCTGAATGAAATTCCAGTATAATATATAATATATATACATATATATTATATACATATATACATATATATGCTTATATACGTATATATGCACATACATGTGTGTATATATACATATGGTATATATACAACCTAAGTTTCCATTCCATTCTTTATCAATGGACACTTAGGTTGTTTCCATATCTTCGCTATTATAAATAATGCTACAGTGAACATGGGGGTGCATCTATCTTCTCAAGTTAGTGTTTTTGTTTTCTTTGGATAAATATTCAGAAGTGGAATTGCTGGATCATGTGGTAGTTTCGATTTGTAATGTTTTAAGGAACCTCCATGCTGGTTTTCATAGTGTTTGCATCAACGTACATTCCCACCTATATTTCACAAGGGTTCCCTTTTCTCCACATCGTCAACACTTGTTATTTCTTGTCATTTTATAATAGCCACCTATCAGGTGTCAAGTGGTATGTCATTGTGGTTTTGATTTGCATTATCCTGATGATTAATAATGTTAAAAATTAATCTGTTATTGAGAATATATAGTTCCTGCAGATTTAGAAAAGCACATTACTGATAAGATATTTTATTGTGTAAAAGGAAGTCAAAGAAATAACTAAATCACTTATCAGTGTAGTTAAACCATTGTTATATTTTGAGGAACTAGCAATTCAAACTTTTAATTTGATACATATATATATATATATATATAATTTTTAAAGGGTATTCTAACTTTTTAAATATTTCATTCGGTTCCCTTGGTAACATGGAGACCCATTCCCCTGATAATTTTACAATTTCAAATTCCTTCTATTTTGAGATTAAAAAACAAATCTACTTTGTTAGCTATAGCTTAATACAAAATTTATTTAACATACCTACATTTTTCCATGCAATCAAAAGAATTGATCATGAAATGTCTGAGGATCGCCTCCTTCCTATGTACACAAATTTCCTCATTAAACCAGGTATACCTCTTTCCCACTGCTTCACACACTGTAACTAACTCAAAATTTCAGTCAAGATAACATCTACAAATGCTACTACGCATGCTAAAAATAGCCTTTTAAAAGACGTATTATTTATAATCCATAAGGAATCATTCATCCATCCATCCATGAGGCTTTTTTTCAGAGACATTAACCTGACAGACAATGTAAACCCTTCATTTGGATGATGGCACACCTGCACACACATACATACACACACACGCATTGCACACATCTCACACATGTGTTTCCTCTTCGAAGATCACTGAAAACAACCTGCAGTGTTCTAGTTTAGCTTTAATTCTCTGAGCACTGTTTCATATCTAGTACTGTATTATATTCATTATACAAAGTCAACAGATACACTGGTTTGCCTCTACATTAATCATTCACATGGGTGTAACAGCTAGCATTTCAAAAGTTAAAAGTAAAGGCTAAAATCTCTCATTGCTTCCAGAGCCTATGCTGTCATTAAACAAACATATATATATATATATATATATATATATATATATATATATATATTCACCCATATCTCATTTTTGGCTCATTTGGACTTTACATCCTGTGGTATCAATCAATACAATCTTCATGTCTGGTTTTATATGTTTCTTTATGTTGTCAACATGCACAGACTGTGTGCACATTTATTTTAGGAGCACCTATTGCCTTTGCTGAGGCAAGAGACGTGGGTCTGAGTCTTAGCTCTGGCACTCATAGTCCATATACTACTGAACAAGTTACTCACATTCTCTAGGGCTCAGTGTTCTTATCCATAAAATGGAGATAATACAATTTCATCTCAGTGTTTTTAATGGATTCAAATAAATTAGTAAATGTGAATTGTTTTGATAATTTTAAAGCATAGCTACTATTCTCTTTAAAGAATGAGATTAATATCCAGGCCCTCCATGAAAAATGCGCTTATTTGCAAAAGCAACTGTATTAAGGACAAGTTTGACATGTGATATAGGAGTGTTTGGGAAATACACAAGTGATGTAAAGAATTTTAAGTTCAAGTATGCTTAAATAGAATGAAAGTGATTTATCAGATGAGTCACAGTGGAAGTTATACGTAAATAGTATAGATCTTAGTTTTCTGTGAACCATTGAACTACCAAATTTCAAATAGAACAATTAATCAGTGTAGAGCACAGCAAAAAATAAATTCAAATCAATGATGCAATACCCATATTCCAATTAGCTTATTTTCTCCCTTCACCCTCAGACATATTGTATTTTATTTAAAAATCAAGTTAATTAAGATACTCTATAGTCAGTCAACTCATAGATTAAACTAGAAATCTTATTCTTATTTATTGTTTGTTAAGGGCTCAATCTCAAAGTTTTTCTATTAATAGGTCACATATTACAAAGTGCTAAACTTGCCTATATTCCACCAGTGGAGACACACACATAGTGCTCAACACACCTCTTCAAACAAAGGGTGAAACTGGATGTGTGTTTTAGCACTCTGGGCTGCAAACATGTAACTTGCATATTAATTTACGAATGTCTGCCAATCACACCAATCTTCAATGAATCTGAATTGAGATTAACTACAGGTACAGTGTATATAACAGGTACGGGGACGTTACCACAATGTCCAGTACCTAGGGGTGTGAGGAAGGCAAAGGGTGTGAGGACTATGTGTGCACATCAGGGTTGAGATATTCTATTTGGCTGGATTTCCTTCAACCATAGCGGATACAACACACAGAGAGACATGCTCATATCAAAAAGAAAAGAATAGAAGGGAGGGAGGGAGGAAAAACTCACATTTGAACACTATTAAGATTTTCTGATAAATCTAACCTCTGTCAGTTAGAGTTGGACAAAAAGTCTCAGCCCAAGGTCTTCCTGCTTCCATACCCAGTCCTGATTTACACTTTACAATTCCCCATCATCCACAACATGTAGCTTGGATGTGTAGCCCATCAGTGCCTTCCCACATCTATCTAAGCTTAGATGATGACAGCTCTACTTTGCCATTAGGTATGTCAAGATCAGCAGCTCCTGAAACCGTGTGTGTGTGTGTGTGTGTGTGTGTGTGTGTGTGTGTGTGTGTGTGTAGAAGGAGAGTCTAAGGAAAGGAACTGTTTTGGGTTGCCAGGAAAGGGGCTGAATGTGGACCCAACTTCCACCTCTATGCTCGAGTTAAGAATCTGGAACTGATTCCTCAAAGCAGCTGTAATTGGTCCTTTATGCTACTCATTTCCTTGGAAGAGGAACCGTCTGCATCTATTAAAACTCCAGTGACAAGCCGCTTCCCTGCCCTGTCTTCCGGAGCACTTTATGTTAAGGAGAAATTACTCTAATTAAATATCGGCGTCTTGTCTGCTGGTAAAATGAGATGCTTTCTTCCTGGGACTTTACAGGGACATCTCTATACACACCACACACCCACACAGTGTAACTCCCACAGTATCCTCGATCCCTCCTTCCATCCCTCTCTCCTCTCTCATTAGGATGGCTGAACATTTTGCTCCAAACTCTCCAAGTCACCCACGTGTTTGCTCTCCCCTTTCGCTGTTCAATTTACTTTCCGACTTGACAAAAAGAAACTCTAGTTCTCAGATTTTTAAGCTGTAATCCTCAGAACAAACTGTCTCACCCACACCTGCCTCCCCCCACCCCCATCCCAATCAGATCTGCCCACAAACCCCTTCACTCTGGGGGGGGGGTGTACAGATTACTGGGTATTTCTCTGGCTCAACCCGCCCCACCCCTTCCTTCACTCTTCTTCCTTCATCAGAGGAAGCTGAATCCCTCTGTTTAGTGCCACTCGCCAGGGTGGAATGGAAGTGGGTGGGGAGGGGGTGGCGGGTGGTATAGATAACTGGGAATCAATCTCTCTCTCTCTCTCTCTCTCTCACACACACACACACACACACACACTCTCATTCAATTAACATTCTTTCGGGGTCTCTTACACACACCTGAATCCTAACAGTTCTAGCAAGGACAGGCACGCCCCTGCTCGCCCTCCCCCCATTCCCAGAATAGAATTTGACCCTGGGTGCAGGACTGCTGGTGACAAATAGACCAACAAGGAAAATTTGAGAACTGGGGAGGTGACCATTTGCCTGGATGGGGGGAGGTGACCCCTTGCGCTCTCCACTCACCGCCTGAGTCCCTGAAACGACGAGGGCCAGGACATCCTGGATTTCTTCAGGCCGGGCCGGTGGCTAGTCTCCACGGCGTAGGAGGTTCGGTCCATGGCGCGGCAATACAGGTAGCGCTCCGTGTCGGAGTAGCCACGATGCCGGACACGGCCAGTGGCCCCGCTCGATGCATAGCGGCCACGAGCTGCCCCGGGCGGCGGCGGAGGTGGTGGCAGGGGGGGCGGCGGCGGTGGCTGCAGCGGGGACTGGGACTGGGGCTGGGGCGAGGGCGGTGGCGGCGGTGGAGGCAGGTGGTGATGAGGGTGCAGGAGGCGGAACTGGGGCTGCCGGAGTGGGTACTGGTGGTGCTGCTCGTGCCTCCAGAGGTGCTTGGGTGCTTTGAGCGTGGCCCCGCCAGCACCGTCGCTGCTCTCGCTACTGCCTGCCGGAGCCTGCACGCTGCTGCCCTCCGCCTCCATCCTGGCCGGCGGCTCTGTGCCCTGCTGCCCAGCCGGGTTCACTGCACTGGCCCGAGCGCCTCCCCGCTGCTGCTGCCGCTGCTGCTGCTGCTTCTGGAGCCGAACAGAGGCTGGGCTCAGCTTCCCGCTTGAAGCCACCAGAGGCTCAGAGGCTCGAGGCGACCGAGAGGGGGCTCTGCTAGCAGGAGGGATCGGATCGCAGACCACGACAGGGCTCCCTTCACAGTGGTTGTGGCAGAGACACGCTCCTGGGCTCCCCAAGTCACCACGACTAGGACGGGCAATACTTCGCTTCCACAACGGTCGGTCCCACCTTCCTCCCTTTCGTCTTTCCTTCCTTTCTTTGGGTGCCGGCAACGAAAGCAGGAATTGTTAGCAGCTCGATGTAGCAACAGCAGCAGCGGCAGGGGTCGCCGCTTTCTGAGTCCAGGGCACGGGAATCCGGATCCCGCCGCTGCTGAAAAGTTGGACAGCTCCTGCCTGGCGAGCTGGAGCTGTGACTTGCTCTAAAACCACCCCAGCCAGTCAGGAGTCAGACCTGTCCTCCCGATCCTTCCCCTCGCTGTGCCCCCGCCTCCCTCCCCACGCTGCCCCCCACTGCCCCTGAGGTTTTCTCTTCACCTCCGCCTGCCTCAGTCTTCTTTGAGAAATGCAGTTTGGTGGTTCCTGGTTGATTTCTCAGAGCTTGTTGACCGTAAGCCCCATGCTGGGGCTTCCAAAGATAAGGGATGTGATCTGGCAAAGTTGCCCAGAATGGTGTATACGAGCGTCGCTGAAAAATTGAATGTTGGTGAAGATCCAATACTAGGGTTGATTCAGTCTCTCGACCTGACATAGGATTAAATATTGTGTTGATCTTTCCCATAGCACGGAGAATGCCCAGTGTTTTCTCTTTAGATCTTCCTCCAGCTAGTATCTCGTTTTGCTGCTGCTTCTGCGATTAAGGTCCCCCAGGAGTGGTCTTTGCTGGAAATCAAGACAAGCCTTCTCCAGGGCTGAGCTAGCTGGCCACAATTAAGACTGGGGCACCTTTTCTGTTACAAACCACTGACAGCAGTTTCTACCGTCAGTTCTTGCCTGCAATTTTCCCGTTCTGCCACTTCCAGGAGAACACAGCTCAATTACCAAAGCGCTTTAAAACACGCTGTGTCGTTATTATTCTACAGAACATTTGACACTAAATCCAAGTTCAATTTTTATTTGCCTTCCTTTATTAGTACTTTCCTGCAATATTGACTGTTTTTGAGAAGCCAAGAGAATTTCAGAGCAATAGACACATTTTTCCTGTCCATTTTAATATTACCCTCTTGCTTAAAGATCAAATGTCATTTACTCACTGTTAAAAATAATTCTAGAATTATACTTCGTGGGAGTTACCGCTGTACCATCCATTATTTGAAATATAAATATATGTAGAATTCACAATAGCTTGTTGGCAGTGTAATTATTGTATTCTCCGCACACACTCAATCATAACAAAATTGAATATGTATATTTTATGCATATAATGTAATTAACACTGAAGTACCAGAATCAGGAACCATCTCTCAGACTCTCCAGAACGTAGAAATCCAATGCTTTCCATACAGTGAATGCTCAGTATAGATACTATTTGGCAAATAACAATACTGCAAATAAATGCTCACTCTGCTCATTAATAAGAACAGGCCATGAAATGTACAAGTGTCTCCTTCTCTAAATGAGAGCAATTAAATTTAACATTGTGCAAAAAAAACCCACAAAAAAACAACAACAACAACCCCAAAACAAACAAACAAAAAAACCAACTCTTGGCATCTCTTCATGGGTTTCTTTCTTTTTTTTATGGTAGGAAATGTCCCCTCCTCTGACATTTCCATATTGGCACTCTGCCCATATGTTGTCCATGCACAAAACCTGAAAAAGGCTGTGTCTTGAGAGGAACAAGGCAGTTTCCTAAACACCACCTCCCTCTGTGTCCTACTGAAAACATACTTGACTAAAGCACACTCTCTCCCTTTTATAGATACAAATGTGACTAATGGCAGTGGCCAAAGCCTTTTCTATGCCTACGGAGACATTGAGCTGGTATCTTTCCAAACAGGAAAGGAGAGAAGAGGAAGTATTATACAGTGTAAACTTTTTTTCCTTTTAATTCATTGTATTATTATTCATTGCATTTGGAATCATTTTAAAGGAGTATAGAAATGTCTTCTTACCTCTGAAGAGGTACATTGAGGGGAATGGCTTGCCACCATTCCCCTCAATGTAACTATGGCAAAATACCTCTATCTGAACTCTTATTCTCACTTCAAATACTAACAGCAGAAGCAGTTTATGATCTTCTTTCTCAAGCAAATAGAACACCTCAAATGTAACCTGATTCTTACTGTCAGTTCTAGCCTTCCTTTTAATTCATGAACACTTTCTTTTTC